GTCAAATGAAGCAGCGGGTACCGCGAACTATTATCAAGATGTATTTTTTTTTTGCGTTGGGGAGATGTTAATTATATATAACGGGTTTGCCCTTACCAAACGTAGAAGAAGATGTTGAATTTGTCGACATTCTTACTACGCATTTATCTTTTTTAGCCATCAACGGCCATCATGTTTCCTTGTGTAGGATATTTTTTAAACATATATAAACATTGAAACATTTATCATATATAGTAATTTTCAGGACACTCAAGCTGAAATATAGTTTGCAGCGCTTTTTAAATACTATTTGAAAATAACATTAAGTATTTATTGGATATTTTAATCTAGCCTTAGGTGTTAATTTTCCCTTAATCCCTCATGGAAAATAAAGGTCACGACGGCAGAGCAGGAATGGCTGCAGTCGTTTTCAGAAAGACACATCAGCTTGACCCTAAGGCCTTCTACGATCACGTGGTCGGGTCATTGCCGCTCTACGCATGTCCAAAGTTTCTGCGAATCATGGGAGAGATGGACATCACAGGTACATTCAAACACAAGAAGAATGACCTCGCCCGTGAGGGATTTGACCCCAATGTCATATCAGACCCTCTCTTCTTCATGGATGAGGAGAAAAAGACTTACACACCCTTGGACGACGAGGCCATGCAAAGAATTGTCATTGGAAAAGCCAAACTATGAATACTGAAATGTAAAGCTGACAAAGACTTCGTGATTCATACCGATTTCATTAACGAAAACTGTTATCAGTCAATGAAAGTTTACATTGATAAAATCAAAGTTTCTAGGTAACCGGAGGACATTGCTGATTTGTTGTTTTTTTAAATGTGGGAATGTGTTAAGTAGAACACCAGTTATTTGCTTTATTCACAAGACTATTCACCCAGTGCTAGATATCGTCAACTAATTTATTTCGATATGTCCGCCATGACAGTTTGAGAAATTGTGTTGTGTTTTTTACAAGGTTGAAAACCGCGCTTACGTCTCACCAAACAGTTTTTACTTGAGTGTTATATATCAGACCTATCCGTTTATGTGGAAGAAACACAGTATATATTGCCGTGTCCGTTTCAACGAGGGCAAAATTCGCAGGAAATTTGTCGTGATTTTTATCGTGCATTTGGTTTACAGTCCATACTAGCTCTCGTAGTTTTGCTCCGGGTACTCCGAATTCCTCCTTCCTCTAAAACCAGACTTTCTTCCTAACTCCATAAAGTGATGCTGATTATTAAATTATTAAATAAACGTACAGTAATTGGCTCAAATAGCCTGAGTAGCAGAAAGCGCCATTGAAACCAAACAAAAAACAAACAAACGTTTGTTGAGATGTGTTTGTGGACAAACACAGAGCTTTTTCTGAGTTTTTATTTTCCAGCTCTATCATTTCTGTAAAGGAAGTGTCCTCTGCTTTGTCTGAAATTAATTCCCATGCGAACCACTGATAAGATCAAAAAAGTGAAAAAAGAAGTCCCTCTCCGTAGCCATTGTATACGACTTAAATCTCGTATCACATGACCCCTGATGACGTCACCGTGACGAATTTATTTTGACAGCTCCATGGGTTGATGGAAATTACAAAATATTATTTGATAATTAGACTCTTGGGTATGTTAGTAATCGAATGAAGACAAAAACAATACGATTTCTCTTTCGTTCTCATAGTAATCCTCAGCCGAAGTTCAGGACTACTCTCATTAAGATCGATAATATTGTGTAGTAAAAAAAAGTGAACAAAACCTATGGAGAAAAATTGAATATTCAAAATTTAAAAATAAAGTATGTGATGCCGTCATCATGATGTCATTATTTTAGCATCTTCTTAACCTAAGGGTAGTTCCTTTGATGAAGATCTAAGATAGCCTAGTGACGAAAATGGTGCCTCGAATTTGAGTACAAAGTCTATTGGAAAAAATTAAATGTTCAAAAAAAAAGAACAAGAAAAATGATGACGTCATCATGTTAAACATCATGCTAAATCTCTCCTTGAACAATCCTTTGATGATGTTGTAACATTGTGCCAAATTTGGAGTTCGGATTTATTTTGGTACAAAAGTCGATTGGCTGAAGAAATAGCTTTAAAAAAAAAAAAAGGGGGTGGGGAACTTTAACGACAACAAACGCTGTTCCGAAACAACTAAAAACATACATACTGGAGAACACACTGGCTGGGGGCCACATCTCTGCAGTCTGTAGCTTTGCGGGCGGAGGTCCTTTATTTTGTAAAGTTACGTATAATATGCTGCAAGAAGTTTGATACTGAATGTTTTCTTCTGTATAAGTTACCGCCGTCCGTCAACTTGTTTTGTCGAGTGTCATGGGCACCTAGCCCGGTCAATCTCACCTTTCGCTTGAGAATTAAAAACAACAATTTTCTTTGATACATGTATCTTTTTTTTCCCCCGGAAACCAAAGCTTGGTTGCGTTTGGTTGAATTATTTCTTGACTTTGTGCTATTTCCTAACTGTCAGTATGAACCTAACTGCCCTAACTGTCAGTATGAACCGGTCCGCTGACACGACCATACGTCTTTGGACAACACCACCATAATTATGAAGAACCGTCCATTGTAACCGTCCAAGCCCTGGGCCTGAGGTTGACTTCAAATGGAAGGGTATTACAGAACAGAGTAAACTAAGCTGTTAAATTTTGGTATCATCAGAAAGCTTGCTGACTTCTATGATGTTCAGTTGTTACAGGTACATGTATATTATCAAATCCGGAATACAGACAAGTTTTTATTGATATCGGAGATCGCTTTTTTCCCAGTATGTTGAATTACTGGATTATTGATAGTTTGCTTAAGGGCGGCAATAATTGCTCATTGACACAGCTATAGCGAAAGGCACGTGATGTTGATTCTAATGAAAGTAACAGCTATTGGTCTAGATCCCTACACAATCCCCGCACGCACTTCTCTAGCTCTGACGTCACGAATGCTCGCACAGTCCAAGCTTGTAAGACCTGACAAGAAAGGAAGTTAAGCGGTGCACAGTGTGGGACTGCACGTCAAGAACCCCCTGTGGTTGAGGAGACTTGGTGCAGGTTAGGGAGAGTTTAGCCATCATGCGATCATGTCGATCACGTGGCCATGTGGCATTCGAGTTAGTTTGGGATTAGTTTATTTTTAAACCAAAATTACCATTAAACATGTACAGATCACAATAACATCCAAATAATAAAGCTATGCTAACGAATAACATGTTGTGTCCTGTCTTTGCACGTCAGGTAAACGCATCTGTAAGACCTGACATCAATAATCGACAGTTTTTCTCGCTTGCAAGTACATGAACGGAGAGAAAAATCCAAGATCTAAGATCTTGCACAATACCTGCTGTCGATTTCTGTCGATATTTTTTTTAACAAGAGTAAACTTTCCACAAGCAAACTGGGGCCGACCACAGAAGCACACTGTGTGATTTTGGGACTTTGATCGGAGTTATCAGCATTACTGTTTTCAACGTGTTCAAGTTAAAGCACTATGCTCAATATGGAAAAGCGTGATTACGTAAGGATCCTCATTGAAGTTTGATATAGTGCTTCCCACAAAAACCATAGCTATGTATTTAATACAGTGATAAACTCCAATCTACTACGAAACTTTCTGCTTTTCGGAGTATACTGCTGTTTTGGACTTGGAACTGACCATATATACACAGTGTCCTGCGAAATTTGGACTGCCACTGGTCGCTGGTTGACATCTTGGAAGAAGTCATACCCAGGATGACCAAGGAGTTGATACTTATGCAGTCTTCATTTCATGCTACATCTGAGTAGAGTATGGAAACTTAGCCAGATTTATCCACATAAAACTGCGGCGAGATGTATGTAATTATACACACAGGCTTATCTCCCGATGTGTAAACATATTGGTGAATCCTGCGCTGTAGGCCCAAACACACCCCTAAGGGCGCGATAAGCACTGAAGACCTGGATCTGATTCGGACATTTTTGCAAGAGGCTTTCAGTTTTCAACTGGAAAAGACAGCATGCCTCTCCCCATTGGTAGTAAAGTGGCTGGGGTGACGGCAGTGGCAACCCTTACGGGGCTGCCGCTGGCAACTGTGGCTTTCCTTCGCCTCAAGTACGGTCCCACAGTTTTCCAGGACCTGGCGAGCATTTGGCAAAGACGGCGTTTCCAAAAGTTACTGGCCACGCTGCAACAGAAGAACGTCAAACTTGTCGATTTCTTCGAGGAACACGCCAAGCAGACACCAGAGAAGGTGTTCATCTTGTACCAAGACGAGCTGCACACTTACGGAGAAGTGGACAAAGAGGCTAACAAACTGGCTCGGTTTGTGAAGGGAACTAAGGCCGTGATGTGCTTGGACACTGTAGGGATATTCATGATGAACGAGCCCAGTTTCATTATCTCCTGGTTGGCCTTCAACAAGCTCGGCCTGCAGATTGCTCTTCTGAACTATCACCTGACAGGTGATGCACTCCTCCATTGTATCAAAGCTTGTAAAGTGAAAGCGATTGTCTGTGGAGCAGGTACGTGAATCGCAATAATGCTGACAATCCTTAGGGACCATTCCAAATTTTCAATGTTTTTAAATTTCATTTTTTTCCAAATTGTTTGGACTCAACCACCCACCCCCAATATTTCTCGTTACACTGCTTCCTGATATGATGTTTTTCTGCATACAGAACCGTCTTTTGCTGTCCTGCAGCTATTCTCCCATTTGCTTTGTAAATTTAGCTAATTACATGGAGAATAATCATAGCTGGAAACAAAAAATGCGCAAGTATTTTTCATTTGAATTTGATAAATAAAATAAACACCAAAAGAATTTGTTTTCCCGTTGGCTGTAAACAGTTAAATTTGGTTGCAGCACTCTCATTTACAGCACTTTCAAGTCCAATCAACCTTTCCCATGAAATATGCAAATCAGGCAGGCGCATATACATTAGTGCCACTGGTTGGCAAGTTGCTTAAATCTTTGACGTAATAATACAAATCTCCATGCGCGCGTCACTATCGCCGTTTCTCTGCTATTATAGTTTGACATGAGTGCCAAACTTAAAGACAAGGAACTGTTACTTTCCAACCTCAGGACACTGAAACCTTCACCTAGTTTCGAGAAAAGCGTGCTTAAGTATCGGGCAAAGGCTGTAATATGGTGTTGATTGACCGTCAACGCTCCAGGTTATGGTTACTAGCAGGTCGCCTACGCTACCGACAGTGTTGACGGCTCCACTTGCCAACCAGTGGTAGTAGCCCGCATGCACCCGTCTAATTTGCATATTTCATGGGGAAAGGTCAATAGAGTACCGCAGTGTGACGTCACTGTGAGCCAAACAGTGCAGTGCAAACAAATGGAGTGCGCGCGTGTTGGTTCATGCGCTGGTTCTCGCGCTAATGCCTTTTACACACTAATTGTGCGCGTGACGTATTCACTTCGGTACTCTATTGTCATACCTTTGTCTTGGATACTGTCCGTTCATAGGCCCAGAATGATCACATGACAGGGCGACATATCCGCATGTCACACTCACCGTGAGACATCTCATTCTTCCGACTGTACGCGCACACACACGCGTACGTGAGCGCGAAACAAAAGAGCTTTTGGAAGTTCGAGAACGAACATAGTGGTCCTTCAGTCAGCTTTGCGTGGTACCCATTATACATTTTGTGCATAAGCTACCTGAAAATTCGATCATTGCGCTCGTACAACAGACTCGTTCCCGTCCCCGCATTGTATTACGTAATGCGAGGACCGCTAACCAGACTATATAAATTTACTCACTGGTGCCCGCGCTAGTTTCACATTAACGTTTACGCAATTAAAGAAAGGGATCGGACGGGACAGTGCATTTGCAAGTGATATCGTCTACGTACGTTAACTGTACAGTTTTACAGTGGGCCCATCATTTTCTGAAAATTTTCAGCTGGTTTCTTTGGACAAATTCTTTAAGACAGACGTATGACAATGTGAACACCCGAGGGACGCATGGCGCCCTCGGCTTCGCCTCGGGGCGTTATGCGTCCGTCTGGTGTTCACAGCGTCATATCCCACACCACAACGGTCAATAATTATTAAATATCACATCCTAGGTAAAAACATACAAAATGAGGATGTGAGGTTTTTTGTGTTTTACGCTGTGGTATGCATCAGCTGGAATGAACAGGTCATCGCTCCATGAGCCCGTCGACGGTCAAATAGGATGTAGAGCTTCGCAGGACAGCTGAAAATACACTGGACTTAGTCATAAATACATGTACATGAAGTTGACAAATACATAGATACGTAAAGAGCGATCTGGTTCTGTTAACTAACTTGCGAAAATATTTTTATGCAATTTTTTTATCGTTTCGTGTTTTGGGGGTTGTTGAAGGTCTGAATGTTTTATGTTACCAATGGGGATACTGGTTCATGGAGTTTCACACGTATATGATGTACAGGTCAGTCTAACCGTAACTGGGAACGAAGTTGAAAACGATCATACTTACAGAACGCTGGCGTGGCGGGTAGTTCATGCAAGTCAAGGGATCAATTTCTTTTTCGTTTTTTGTAAAAAAAAGATCTTATCTCTCCCTGTATAAGGATAAGATTTTGGACAAGGAGAATATAGTTCGGTAACTTCGAAGCTCAGTGTTTCATCATGAGAACCTTTCCCTACTTCTCTCCTAATTCAGATCAACTTTTGATGGACTCCATAGAGACTATCTTGCATGAACTGCAGGTACTGGGCATCCGAGTATGGATCATTGGAGACCGGGAGAAACGGCTCATTCCTGAGGGGATGATCCGTGTTCGGACATGGAACGAGCGCAGTGATCCAATACCGCGGAGCGAACGCGAGGGCATGTCTAACTTTGATGACGCAATGTACATCTTCACCTCGGGAACAACAGGTAGGTTTACCACAACTATTTTATCCAGTATCGTTGCTGTGCTATGTTTCCTGCTCAAAGCCTTTCGGAGTCATGCCTTGTGGTTATTTTGACACTAAGTTTGTGAACTTCGGGCTTATATCGCTAAACACTCATTTCCCTGAGACAGGTTAGCCAAAATGTCAAATGTTCTCGCTAGCGTGCTTAATCCAAACTTCGCAGAATGTACTAATAATAAGTGTCTTTCTAAGCACGCCAAGCCTTAGTGTAGCCTTCCAGACAGTTGGATTCTTGAGGCGTGTTCAGAAAAAATCGGCTGTGTTTTAAGGTTGAAGGGGCCTTTCCATATTTTAGGCACGGTTTGGATCCATTCCGCTTCCACGTCTTGTTTTGTACACTTTTCGTTAAACACTTTCTGCATTTCAAGCATACGGACATCGGGCGCAATGAAAATAACGCCGGTTAATAGGAATGCGCCTATATGGGAAATGACGGCATATTACGCATTCTTAACTAACTGAGCAAGATTGCACGTCTTCCATAGTCGATTTGCTTCAAACCAGATTCTGTTCGGCCATCATTCACGTATCTTGTTAGGTTTGTACAAAGTTTAGTGGATTCAACGACTGCCTTACCCGAATGCGCACAAGCAGATCAAAATGTTAAGTCCACAAATAATGGTCTGCTGTATAAAAACATTCACAACTTCCCGGAAGCTTGTGTTGAAGTCTGATACCGTATTACTCTAGGTCTCCCCAAGCCAGTGAAAGTACCGCATTACCGCCAAGTCAGGACTTCCTTCATACACCAATCGTTCGGATTGACTAAGGATGACGTCATGTACACGTCACTGCCTCTCTACCACAGCGCAGCCTTAAATGTGGGGCTCGTTAATGTCATACGAGTTGGTGAGTGTCGTGATAGAAATAGGTATCAATCACCACACGTATCATTTGTATCAACAGTGTCAGTGTTTTCGTTATCATAGTACTCTGTCCCGCCGTCACAACTCATTACAGTAAGCATTTGATCACTGCCATCATTGTTATACACTACTCAAAAGAATTAAAGGAACAAGAGAACAGACTGTTTTTGTCATGGTCCATATGGGATACCGTTATAACAAGAGGCATTAAAGTTATGTGAAAATCATTCAGGTGTTGTTGCATAACTTTAATGCCTCTTGTTCTAACGGTAGCCCATATAGACTATGATAAAAACATTCTGTTCTCTTGTCCCTTTAATTCTGTTGAGTAGTGTAGCTCACCTTTACCTACGTCGCCAGTCTTCCTATATCCGACTCATCACCAGCAACGGTCCCCTGTTTGAACAAAGTAAAATTCTCATGACATTGTTAACTTGTATGTAAACTTAAAAACCACGGAGCCCGCACTCTATGACGTCACTTGCTTTGGCGATATAAATTGGACGTATCGGTGCCCTCTAAGTAGTGGCGTCTCCAATGAAGGGGGCGGGGTACAAAAGCCCCCAGTTATATGTTAGTACTTTTAGGAAGTCAAAGAGCCAGCATTTTGGAAACAATGCAACCACCCTTCAGGGCGAGCGGATTCCCTTGCGCACGAAAATAGCTTAGACAGTCATTTTAACAAAAATGTCCATCTTGTTCCCCCCCCCCGCCTAAGACCTGGTAACATCACTCTGTTCTTTTTTTATGTTCTATTGTCTTCCCTTGACATCAATACAGAGTTAGGTTATCGTGGGTTTCCCTTCACTGTGGGTTCCTCTTTGAAATTTTTATTCCATATTTGTCTTTAAGGGTGTACCGTAGCTCTGACTAATTTCTCAGTTCGGAGATTCTGGGATGATGTCCGCAGATACCGTGCCACGGTGATCCAGTACATCGGGGAGATTTGTCGTTACCTCCTTGCACAGCCACCGGTAAAAAAATGCCGTCAGTGTTATGTCATCAGCAGAAAGTTGGGTGTTACATGATTGCCGCATTCCTCTAGTCTCTGGATTTTTACAAATTGCTCATCAGTTTTGATCTGATCTAGTTGCAAGAAAAAAATTTATCTCCTAACCACCACTGTTTAAAGCCTTTGACTCCTATCTGAACTTCCACGGTTGCTTTGCAACCCTAGAACTTTCCCGCGAATACACTGCAAATAATGTAAATCGGTGTAAGGGTAAAAGCTAAATCTCTCAGCACTAAGCCAAATTAATATGATTGACATCATGGCCGTGGAGTATATCCCCGACACACCTTTTTGGCCTGGGGATTACCATAATAGAGTAATCACCCCCCCCCCCCGAAGTCACTAACTTTATGTGCCCTCGGCTTTGCCCCTGCACTCCAACAGGTGGCCCTTAACCCCCCCCCCAATGAAGTTTGCTCTTGGACTGGGCCCTGCGCCATGTCCCGCTCCACACTAGGATGACCTTTCAGAAATCACCCCCCACGTGTGACAAGACGTCTCCGCCTTTGATTGATATCCAGACTTTGCTTTATGTGATCGCTAACTGACTGCAATCACAGACCCAAAGCAGCGGAACTCTGACCTGTCCAATCCACAACGTTTGCCTCAGGATTTTTGGCATTGTGACGCACTGGCAATTTAAAATTAAACTTTTTCATATAAGACTTGTTGGCTTTTCCCGATATGAATAGCGCCTGGATGACGGCAAGTACTCTCACAAAATCCGCTACGCTATTGGCAACGGTCTGCGCCCTGATATATGGGTAGAATTTCAAAAGCGATTCAACATCGGCCACATCGCTGAATTCTACGGTGCAACTGATTTGCCATACTTCAACGTCAACATGGACGGCAAAGTGGGAAGCACTGGAAGATACCATGGTATTTTCAGGGTGGGTTTTGTCTTAACTCTGGTATGTCACGAATCCCTTTCCAAGACAATAGAAGTCCAAACTTGTTAGTACATGTAGCATCGTTTGGCAATTTGTATAGTTGTGTCTCGCGTTTAACCAAGTTGCATCATTTGAAAGTGAGCTAAACCTAGTAAAAATTGTCCATTCTAAAAACTCCCTGGTCGAATTGACCCAGAATTAAGTCCCATTCGGCGTGACCCCTTTCTGGGTAAAAAATGACCACCTTTAGGGTCGTATTTGACCCTTTCTGGGTCATAATTTAGAGGGCCTATGTCACAAGTCCCAGTTATAATAATGGGACCCAATTTGGAGTCAATCTGACCCTGGAGTTTTTAGAGTGTGTAGATAATAGATTTTCCTAGTACCAGGATGGATTGTTTCTGTCACTATTACTGTTCACATAAAACATATTTGTCAGGCTTTATATCATCTCTAAAGCAAAATAGTCATGTTTCTTACCATTTCAAAGTGTTTGAGAAATAAAGTGGATTGGGGAGCATGATCCGAAATGGATCTGTGCCTTGCCGTCGTATCGTCGCCTGCCTTTGTATGGTTTTATTCCGTGTGGGTTAGGCCGTCGCGTCCTTCCGTCATGCTGTTGCATCCTTAAGTTATGCCATCGGCCGTGTCGTCAAACCGTCGTGTCGTGCTGTCGCTTTGTGTCGTCGTCAGTCGTACCGTGTCGTCGTGCCTTGGTATTTCTAAAAAGGGCTAGTGATTGTCACAGCCATTAGAGGGCCTATGTCACAAGTCCAAGTAATAATAATGTTTGTCCATAGCACCTACAAGATGGTATCATGTGATGGTATCGATTGGTATGAAACCTTTGGGTATAGTCCACTGATTCAAACCCCATTGAAAACAGTGTAAAATCAGTACTGTGCAGGGCCCATTTACATGCATACCAACATCCCTGAGATTTCTGAAACACAAATAAATTGTTGTCTGTCCCTAATCTTTCAATTTCTTTTCAGTTTCTTGTGAGTTAACCATTTACATTTTTAATTATTCCCACAAACCAAAATCATCCCCCTAAAAGTGATTTTTCCGAAGTCTGATTGTAGCCATTTTTCAAGTGGCAACCCTCAACTTTCTCGGGCACTTAGGACCATTTTTCAACCGTAGTTTTTAGCCCTTCTACCCTCATATGAAAGCTCAAAGACCCAGGGAGTTGATCCTGCAATGGACTGCACCCTCAGCTCTGTCTCTTAGGGCGCCCCTTATTTCTACCAGTGATGAGGCGACAAAGAGAGCACGACGCGATGGCACACCACACGCAATGGGTCGACGGTACGACACGACGGAGCTGTCGTAGCGTCGTGTACTGGCTTCAGGGCGCCTGCACGATGCAACGCCATTTTTTCGGCTATAGAACACCATACGTAAAAGAGGGCGGGAGATAGGCAGACTTACTTTTCTACTTGCCCAGTGGGTGGGACTAACTTAATCGGTCTATACAAGATGGTAAGGATGGTGCAGCGTATACAAAATGATGTTTGATGGGATAACACCCGTTGCTATGCTTTTAAACTCGAAATGTACCTCTCTCTGCAGGCGTTGACCGACTACTTTGTTATAGTAGAGTGTGAGTTGGAGACAGTTCAACCGATTCGTGGTCAAGACGGCAAATGCATCCTCACGTCTCCAGGTATTATGCTGTCCCTTCACTATCGGGTTCAAAATAGCTCTCTAAATATCTTTATTGCACTCTCTGGAACCCTATTTTTTTCTTCAGAATTGGCTTGCTTTTTACAGGCGCAAAATTTCCTGGGGTCCAGACTCCGTTATGATGTCCAATTCTACTATGAAGTTACTTTGGCGTCAAAACTCCTATTGTTTTCAGTCTCATTGCGAGGAAAGTCAATTCTATTGGCTTCACTTTGTCGCTTCCTTCCATGTATTTGAGCCACCATTTACAAACGTTTGTTTGTGAAAAACCCAAGAGCTTCTTCTTCTTCTAGGTTTCTACCCTCTATTTGCCAGGTCAACCTGGTCTGATGTTGGTCCGTCGGGATGATATCGCAATGCGCTTCGACGGATACCTTGGCGACAGTTCAATGACTGAAAAGAAACTGGTCCGAAATGTGGTGAAAAATGGCGACTTGTTCATCAACTCTGGCGATCTGATGGTACATGACAAGGATGGTTACCTGTATTTTAAAGACCGACTTGGAGACACGTTCAGGTAACTTTTGAATTGCACCTCGAACCATGCCCGGCGGTCAGGTGTCCTTGCAGTTTGCACGTGAATGAAACTCCATTCACCATGCAATAGAAATCAAGTTCAATGACACGTGATCAACAACCAACCAATCAGAATACATGTAATGTGTTGACTACCTTACACGTTTTCTTCTTACTAATTAGATGGAAAGGCGAGAATGTTGCAACAACAGAAGTGGCTCATATGTTAAACCAGTACTCAGGTGTACAAGAGGCTAACGTGTATGGCGTACGGGTTCCAGGTATGATTGACAAGAAGATGTAGAATTGTGTCGGGATTTTTACTGTGCAATGTGTCTATTTTAGGCCATCAGCAGCAATAAAGAAAACGAAAATGATACTTTGTGTAGAGTAGTGTTTTACGTTTATGGTTGCATGGCATTTTTTTTCAGGGCAATCAAACTCGTTCATGATTTGCTGTGTTTTTGAAACACTATTGTGAAATTACATTTTTGAGTTTAGGAAAAGTGTTAATGGGACATTTTAATCTAGTAATAAGTGTTTCATTTTTAATCCCACATGGAAACTGAAGGTCAAGACGGCAGAGCAGGAATGGCTGCAGTCGTTTTCAGAAAGACACATCAGCTCGACCCTAAGGCCTTCTACGATCACGTGGTCAGGTCACTGCCGCTCTACGCATGCCCAAAGTTTCTGCGAATCATGGAAGAGATGGAGATCACGGGGACATTCAAGCACAAGAAGACAGACCTCGCCCGTGAGGGATTTGACCCCAATGTCATATCAGACCCTCTCTTCTTCATGGATGAGGAGAAAAAGACTTACGCACCCTTAGACAAGGACGCCATGCAAAGAATTGTCATTGGAAAGGCCAAGCTATGAAGACATTACACTGACTAAGACTTAACGGAAACATTTAGAATCAGTTAATGAAAGTTTACATTGATGAAATTAAAGTTTCTAAAAAACTGGAGGACATTGATTGCTTTTTTAATGTGGGAATGTGTTAAAACACATCATCAGTTCTTTGCTTTGTTCACAAGAAGGTGCATTGCCACACAATGCGAGTTATCTTCAACTATACTTTCGTTATGAAAGTTTGAGAAATTGTTCAAGATGTTTTGAAAAGGGTTGAAAACTGCACTTTCGTCTTACCAAACAGTTTTAAGCCAATGTTATATATCAGACTATATTTTTGTCCATTGGCAAGGAAGAAAACCAGTGCATAAAATTATGGGTATGTCTGAATAACTTGGCTACGGCTTGAAATTATACAGGACTTCAGTATCAGTGGTAACTCTAGTCGCTGTTATAGAATTGTGTGCGATTTCAAGCCGAACTGGTTTAAATGTGGACACGGCTATACACGTTATGGACAACAAAGCCATAAAAAGAACTGTCTGTCGAAATCTTCCAAACCCTAGGCCCAGGGTTGACTTTTAATGGACGGGCATCAAGAAACGGAATTTGTATAACATCAGAGAGCCTGCAAAGCTCTACAATATCTATTCATTCCCGCTATATTGTGAAAATACGAATGATTCTGCACTCACATAGCACGTCTGCTTTTTCCCAGAAAGTTGAATTGCTGGATTAGTGTTTATAGTTTGTATTGTATTAAAATGTGAGGGCGAGAACAGCTTTGAATGTGCACAACTTATTTTATGTGATACAACGTAATGGAAGTAGTTCTGGATACCCGCACACAATCCCCACATGGGCTTCTACCTGACGACACGACTGCTCTCACTGTCTAAGCTTGTAAATTACCATACCACGTTGACAAGAAGCTAAAGTGAAGCAAAGAATAATTTGGGACTGCACGTCAACAAACACCTGTACTTGGGGCAATTCGGTACAGGTTTTTGATTTATTTTTTGAACGGAGAGAAATGATCCAGGTATTAAACAACTCCGCAGGGATCGTTCATGACGTAATCAGTTAGCATATTCGATTTTAGTGTACAAAATTATTAAGTTCCTGATAGCAAATACATGAACGGCGAGAAAAATTCGAGATCTTAGATCTTGCACGGTCACCGCTGTCAAGAATTGTCCATTGTCGATCTAGCTGTCGAGAGTGAACTTCATGGCGAACTTCAAGCAAACGTTTCTTTTTTTCTATAGGGCCGCCCGCACTGACACGTCATTTGGGTCATATTGGTTCGGGCAGCGTGTGCTGGCTCCACGATGGACCAGTTCACTACTAGTATTTAATTTTAATTTATGCGCGCATGTTCATAAAGGGCAAATTGAGGCAACAAGCTTGAGTGACCCATTGAAAATGGACAGAGGCACAAATTTCAACGTCATTTTCTCTCAGCATCTTCCCCTTTTTCACCTCTGACGTCGGAAAACACACTCCGTCAATTTTTGGGGGGGCTATATTTCCACAGTGCATTTTTTTCAGTAGCTGAGCCTTGAGGATCTTTCAGGTTTACCCTCTGGCAGTCATTTTGACACCAACTTTGTGAAAACTGAACGTACCGCTCTTGCGCAGCATAATTTTACCCAGACAGGTCAACCTATGATGTATATGTTTTTCAATTGTAGTGCTCGATGCGGGTGGATTGGCACGCATATGTAGCTTGCCTTGAACTTCAAATGACCGTAACAATCATGTTTGAGGGAGTTCAAGCCTCACATTTGCAGTGATAAAGAGCGTCTTTACATGCATGCCGAGTTTCAAACAAATCAAGCATGGCACAGCCTAATCTTTGCCCGAGACTATGCAACAGCCGAGTTCTTGGGGAAAGCGCGGAATTCGGTGTCACGTCGTGTCATTTGACCACGATTTTGTCAGGCAACCGCAAACTTCATTTCTACAAATGTAGCGACAAAATTATGCCTAAATTTACAGATACGAAAGGCGTAAAGTGCACTTTAAAATTGGTTTCGAGCTGGTCTCGGTCCGAAATTCTGAAAACATCCAGTGGGAGACCAAGATCAACTGAAGACCGAGACAAGGGGTCCAAGACCAACACCAATGTGTTCGAGGCGCAAGACCACGTTTAAAATAGTCTCCAGGCTGGTCTCTCGAGAGCAAAACCAGTTTTTACGACTATACAATAATGGTTTTATGAGGGTCTGCATTTTACGCTTTATCTGAGATTGATATGCAACTGTAATAGGGACAAATTTACTACTTCTTTTCCTGGGTCTAAATACTATAAATAAGTGGTGTTCCCCGCGTATATTACGGTTTTCCCTACACAATGCCCCTGGGCAAAAGCGCCCCTAAGGTAAGTTTGGCTCCAGTTTACTTTGTATCCTCCATTACATGATACTAAGAAATGTGGCCCCCTCCGGTTTAGCATGCTACCAGTAGATAGATTCTTGAGCAGATAGGCAGTGAGGATCAAGGTAACATTGATTAATTTTTCCTAAGCCCAACCCTGCCTTCTGATGGTCTGCTGAATCGTTTTGACACTGCATATAAACTCTGCTAAAAATACTCTTTAAAAAAAATAGGGTTTTTTCCCCCGAATTTGTTGTTTTACACGCTTTACTTCTCAGCATAGCACTTGATCCTTTTTGTTCAGCTGGTTGAGATTTTTAAGCAGAGTTTGAATAGAGTCTCTTTTTTTTCATCTTTGGCGAGTAAAATTTATTTTTTTTGTCTGCGAAAAATCCACTTTTCGTTCTGCACTAAGCTTCTTTTTGTTTCTGCGCAGTTGTTTTTTAAATGAATGGCGATCCTATCAATTTGAACATGGTTATTAGTATTGTTGCGTTCCCTAAATATCAAGTCGATGGTAGCGTGGACTTCATTAGTGTC